TTACGTTGCTGTGCTGATAAGTAAATGACATACTATGAGTTCGCGGCAGTGTCAGTAGAGGGTGTATACGATTATACGTGCTGAATGGGCTTGAAAATATGAAGAAGAAATGAGGGGAAATATGAGCAGTGATATTGAGGAAATGATATAACATGTTGTCTACATTCACATGTCTCATCATATAAGTTAGCACCAAAACACTTGAACTTGTTTAGTTGTCAATAATGCATAAGATAACCAGGCAGTGATCAATACGTAGTGTAAAATTGACCTCCGCCAGAATAGATATAAATGATGTCTCACTGAGACATGAGTGCATAACGAAGAACTTCCTTTGAACTAATTGTCTAGTGGAACGTTCTACTGTTTGATTGATGTCGATGTGCATGGGAAGCAGTTCAGTCACCTCGCATCTACTCCCGAAACATCCCGCGAAGACTGGGGGATCATGTGTAGTTAACATTCTGTTCATTATTATAAAAGGAATACCTAATCTAAACCTAATCTTCATCAGTTGAAGAGGAATATGCAGAATGGTTATAGCATACAACAATGTACGATTATCCCAGATAAACTCAATATTTTATGGTTAATATATCGTACCCACGTTACACAGGCGAAGTGATCATCAGAACAATTGTCAGATATTAAGTAATTGGTGACTGAATAAATTATACATTTGAAGTATACATGGGACAGGTTTTTGGACCAATGAAGTGAAATTTTCCATTTACAAAGAAAATATATTTACCTTCTCGTGTACCCGGACACAGGCTTACTTGAATGGCTTGACGATCGACTACGTCGGGTTCGATTCTCAACATGACAATAACGTTTATGACACGTGTGATGCACTTGTGGTATGTGGACATAATATTTAAAATGTTAAAAACCTTGGTATAACGACTGCATACAAAATAGTGGTTACTTTTATTATTCTGTTTCGTGTGAGAATTATGCATCACCTGTAGTATGTGGTACTCTGTTAAAGTTAAATTGTGCGTAAATAGTAAAGCGGGCGGTACGACGTTTCAGGACTTAGGGCGGGACGCATAAACCACATGAACCCCTCGTGGTACTGCTAAAACGAATGTATCTTACTGACATGTTGCACTTGTTAAAGAATTGAAGCAAAATCAAAGTTGATAGAAAATAGATGTTCGATTGAGCTGAGGATAACTTGTGCTATGTCACGCGACTTTCACTGACTCGGAAAAAGCGTGCGGCTTTTTGCTTCGAAGAGGGGTTGAAGGGATTCATTCTCCCGCTCAGGGATCACGTGATGCCTGTCTTCTTCGTGGCGGGGTATAAGCGATTATTCTCCCGCTGAGACATTTATGTTCCACCCAGGCAGAATACATAGTATTTTATCAAGATCACGTGAACCAATCATATATCAACGTTCTGAAATGGAGATATGATGGAACAGCACAGAGAATAATTAGAAATATCTGCCAAACGTAAAGCAGATTTTTCGAATCTGACTTTATCAAAAGTATGTGTTATTTTATGCAGTGTCAACTTAACTTGGAGGAAAACTGTAGCGCAGATCATTCACATTTACCACTTTGACAGAACCTCCGATCATGGATATGTTTCTAACAAACCGACAATCATAATCAGCACAAATCTGGGATTCGAACTCACAATCATAGGATTTCGTCACGCTGATTATGTACAGCTATCTGCAACGCATCAGACTACTAAGACACCACATTGAGTCGTGGAAATGAAGTGTTGGATATGTGACAAATCATTGTTGTTCGCATTACCGAGCTCATCATTGTAGTGTATGTTCCTCCCGATTGAAGTTAACTGAAATATGATAAAACACAAGACTACGATCTTTCATTATTCTTTGTATACACCTGAGCGATATTTCACAGATCAAATGGAAACCAAAGCACTCCGAATTTAGGATTTCATATTATTACACAGGCCAGAAAGGGAGCGGAAAAATCCCCCGATAGGTGTGATTACTATATATATTTGCTATACATGAAGGCAAATCACATAGCCACTTTTACCTCGACACATCTGATCGATGTACAGGAGGGGTGATATCGATATCAAAATATCATGATTCCACCATTTATTGAATGTATATTATTACTGAGATTACAGTGACTGCAGGATGTTGAGAATGTCTTCCCATTCGATCGTGCATCTCTCTTTACATGTCCAGAGTGCTTTGACCAGGACCAGATAGGTGGCCGAACTGCCATTCCGCTGCTTCCATTTCGTGAGCATAATCAAGATCTGCATATACATTGAACATGGGTGTGCAACTCTGCCCTGTTGGATAGCCACAACGCTGAGCCCAAATTTAATCTCGACATACTCAAAGCCGATCCCGATATGTCTCGCAACAAGGCCGAGATCTTGTCTAGTCACTGAAGTCTTGAGTTTTCCATTATCACAGTGTGCTGAACCTATATGACAAATACAAGAGACACAAAATGTTATTTAACGGCTGTAATTAGATGTAAGATTATACTATTAGTTCCCGAGAGCTGTTATTCCGCCAAAACAGTTTAAGAGAAAAAATAACTGAAATGATAACATGGGCATGGGAAGCTAAAACATAGTACAGTAAAACAGTTAAAGAGAAATACAGGAAACCACAGGGGACAATCATGTATCAGCTTTACATATAGAGCATTTCTATATGGAGCCTAACCAATTCCAAAGAAGCCTGCAGAAATCTATATATGATTCAACGTTTCGCAAATCATTTGAAAGGCAATTCCAGACCCGCTGGCCTCTCAAACAAACGCATTCAGCCAGAACATAGATGTTGTTACCCGGGGAGTCTCAGCTGAGGGAGTTTGAAGGAGTTGGTTTGACTTCTGATTTCATGAACACTTATTGATATGGAATATGTTTTGAATTAACCTAACTCAGTTACCAAACTATATTATTCAACAGCTTAAAAACAAACTACCAGACAATTTCAGTAGAAAATGTATTCATACAATCTTCGAAAGATATATAATGAAGAATGAGTAAAACAAACCTTTCTTAACGATCTGCTTTCAGCAGGTTTCCGTGAAAATGTTGAGCATGTCCTGCTCTAGATCTACTTGGGAGGCCCGCCACTCCCACAAATTTACTGAAGTAAGTGTGCAATGTTCCTGCCACGACGTTGGCCTGAACATAATTGTTTCTAGACCAGTGATCATTATCATGAGCAATCGTGACCATCCCATCATTTCAAATGAGTCCTATTAGGAGGATTGAAACGTCCCTGTAATGTCATGGCAAGGGAAAGCCTCGCGCATGATGTTGACAAGCAGCGTTTTATGTTTGATAAAATCCTCTGAATGTCTACCATAAAATGATGGAAATGACTTGAACAGGCCTTTGATGGTTCAACCTTACTTGAAATACTTAGTCCTATGAAAGTTATAAAATGTAAGAGGTTATATTGTTGAATATTGTACACATAAAATCGAATTGTTGCAGCCACTAGTTTTATCACCAATACAAATCTATTTCTGTAGTGTAGAGATGAGAGAACAGTCACAACTGTATCAACACATACTTCGTCTTGGCGCCAATCTCTTCCGTTAATCCTTCTCAGTCTACAAGCAAAGGTGTTTTACGTTTTACGGTAGGTGAAGAGGACATTTCCAAATTGGAAGCATCAGTGGCAAAATGACGTGCGATGCAGGGTCCGATTTGGACTATATGAGCCCGTGTTTGTTCGCACTGAATAACACTGGCTTTTCGCTTCCATGTTTTTAAGACGGTGCAACCAGTGGGACAGGACACGTTCATCTTTACGCTAACACTTGGTATCATAACTATGTGATAGTAATTAAAAAATACATGATAATGTTATCGCTTTTCTTTTTATTTGTTAGATTTGCGAAGAAGAAAATAGGCATGACAATTTGTTCAATAATGACCGTTCGACTGAAATAACAAAATATAATATAAATTGTATGTCCGAGGCAATGTCTTGTCACATAAGTACCTGCTTCTGTGATATAAGATTTGTGCATTATAACGACTGAAGAAAACATGGCAACAGTTGTCATTTGTTATCAATCTAAACAAGCACCAGCAAACACATGCATAATCAATAATTGTTCATATATCTAAAAAAAATATTTATTGTATATTAAGCCATAAGACCAATAGAAAATTTTGCATATTGTTATTTACCAGGCTATATTTCGGCGTTGTTTAGACATTACTATGGGGTACTGGTTCATATACATAGGAAGCATGTTTTAAGGAAAATGTTTATGTCCATATATATCTCAGCCCATGCTGCATTGATGATGCGCATCTCTCTATAGATGTGATCACACCCCAGTTGCTGCACAAGGTGACCTGTCATAACCTGTCATCATTCCTGAAAACTACTATAGCTCATGACCTTACAAGTAGAATAGAGCTAATATATAAAGTCAGAAAAAAATGGCGTCCTTAATGAATCAAAAACGATTCTACAACCGGCAAACCTTATAATAATGTTCAAAATCAGAATAAACAGATAGACAGTACCCTTGAAATTACATTCTAAAAATATTTAGAATTTTCAATCCTTAATACAGTCGGGACATTTGTCATGTGAGAGGCAATTATGTTTCCGGATTTTCGGACTACGGATGACGTTTAGAGCACAGCTTGTTATCCCTCGGTCACTGTTCCGCGAATATCACAAGAGGCAGAATGACCAGTTCTTACAAAGGACATCATAGCAGTTTATTAACATACAAATACAATCACAATGTATTATATACGGCAAATTAATGATAACTGTACATATGATGAGTGTTCAGTGCGCAACTTGCACGAGGAAGCAAAAATCATTCAGTTCAGTCATGATCCCAAATTGTGCACAGAAACCTCAGTGAATCTAGTATTGCGACTCGATATTTCAAAGCGGATGTTTCCTCTAAATGCGATTCGTACATGCAGGTGCATGGCTACGCAGAAATAGATTTTAGTCCCTGAAGGGTCTTGAGAATATCCTCCCAATCAATAAATCAGTGATAACTGTACTTGAGAAGGTTGTTCAGAGCAGCACTTTATTAACCTGACTTAGTGGACGGTCCCTGAAGAATGATCAGAATGTCTTCCCACTCAATCGTACATTTCTCGTTGCATCTCCACAATGCTCTGACGAGGACCAGGCTGGTGGCAGATCTTCCATTCTTCTCCTTCCACTTCGTAAGCATGTGTACAACCTGCATGTACAGTGAACATGGATGTGCAAACGTGACTTGTTCGATAACCACGAGAGTAAGTCCAAGTTCGATGCCGACACACTCAAACCCTATCCCAATGTGACTTGCAACAAGGCTGAGATCTCTTTCAGATACAGGGATATTCAGCCTCTCTTCATTCACAGCATATGCTTGGTTCCAGGGTGTTGTACCTACAAGAATCATCTGACAATAAGCATGTTCTCCACATGTGTATGTGTGTGTGCATGAATGCATGTGCGTGTGTGTGTGTGTGTGTGTGTGTGTGTGTGTGTGTGTGTTTGTGTGTGTGTGTGCGTGTGTATGTGTGTGTGTTTGTGTTTGTGTATTTGTGTGTGTGTTTGTGTGTGTGTATGTGTGTTTGTGTGTGTAAATGTACCACAACGTGTAAAGAAAACGTTTGGGTGGATGCACAGACAATTGGAATAATGTCAAGCTTGCATCTGATAAAGCATAACGTGACACACAATCCATATCTTGCATTTAGTAAATCGATAAATGCGACTGAACGTACCTCTCAGTTCGAGATGATGGTTATAATAGCAGGTTATGTGGTCGTCTGTCTTGGACATTTTCTGGAATCAAAATTAACACAATGAGGCATATTCCTGGTGACGCTTGGATCCCGCATATTGTAAACTTTAAACCAGTTTTAAACCACGATTGAGAACTGTAGCGTCACAAGAAGTAGGGTAATGTTACATTCACTAGTATGCATAAATAAACATAAAGTCGCAATTGCACGTGTACATATTCATTAATTGTTGGGAAAATACGTGAAGGGAATATTGACTTACCTGATATCTGAATCTTGACCAGTATGAAACAATATTACCCATGCTGCCTGTATCTACGACGTCTAGTGAGAAAATGAAACATACATGTGTATCCCTCAGTCGCCGCGACAATATGACAACTTAACACAACTACATTAAACACATATGAATAGGGAAAAGGGATTCCCCCTGCTTGCTGTACGGGAATTGTTGTAGGCCCTGTGAGGCACAGGTGACAATCTTGTTCCAGCTCTCGGACTGCGGATTTTCGGATTTCATAAACCATTTCAATCTTGGTGTGTGTGTGTGGGTGAAATAGTGACGGTGTAAATAAGTGTTTCATTCACTGGGCCTGCTTTCTGGTCCAGGTGCATTAAACGACTGGTTGGTTTGAATTGAATCATCAGTATGCACATCGTGTGCATTGATACTGGGGCGGTGGGTAGCCAAGCGGTTATAGAGTGTACGTGTAGATAAAGGGGCATCCGGATATGTAGTGATATTGGCACCTAATTTCTATAATTAATAATATTTCTGTTTTATTAAATGATCTATCTCTTTACTTTGAGCGTGTTTCTTTCATCAACTCATGAAAACATTTGCCTGTTGTTCTCAGCACACGTTTCTTATCATCCGAAAAATCCGACAGAACGTGTGTCAGGTATTGACATATTCATTCACTACACACTTGACTTCGCCAGGAGAGATATCGTCCGTCTGTCTATAAATAGGGATTGTCCCTGTCGCACAACTAATTCGATCGAACCAATAGTGTACACATAGTGTCAAACTCGAGCTTCCAATACACAGGGGGCGGTCGGGTAGCCTAGTGGTTAAAGCGTTTGCTCGTCACGCCGTGGACCCGGGTTCGATTCCCGACATCGGTACAATGTGTGAAGCCCATTTCTGGTGTCCCCCGCCGTGATATTGCTGGAATATTGCTAAAAGCGGCGTAAAACCTCACTCACTCACTCACTCCAATACACAGAATGTAGGCCTCAAATGATGTAAGAGTCATCAGAAATTTTGGTGATGTGACCTGGCTGTCTAGTCAGCCTAGCGCTGTGTAATAGATATATACGTGCTCAGTGTATGGTGTCTTACTATGTTATCGCCCTTTATGTAAAGGAAGTTTAGTGGGGATTACATTGTGTGAAGGCTATGGCATTTTTTTCAAAAGTTTGTATTTGAAATCAGGAATAAATTGATGATGCAAGTGTATCATATAAGATAATGAGGAAAAACACACCCGTACGCATTAAGATACCATTCTAATACAGAATAAATGAGGTGCTTTTTTTCAATGCAAACATACTCAACAAGCGATAGTTAATTTGGAGCAGTCAAAGCTCTATTAAAGGCATATACCAGCCTAGGCTATAAAGGAAAGGACATTGTCTGTCTGTCTGTTCCAGTTGTTTGTATCTGCAACCCAACAATTAATTGAGGAGTTGATGGCTTCCGCATACCTAATAGTCATCATAAGTTGGGAGAGCGTTTTCGTATCTCACATGACTCCGATGAAACTAATACGTAACACCTGATCACGAACTGCACATGCCCCTTTGACAACCACGGTACAGTGTTTGAACCGATCTAGGTCCGAAAATCCGACAACATAACCTTGCAAGGCTATAAATATATGTCACTACATGGATGCACATATCGGCGTATATACATTGTAGCAGTGACTGGCAAAAGGTTCGTTGGAGTTATGATGTCACACTCAAGTGGTTTTCGTACACTATGACACCGATTGAGGTTAAGATCGAAGGTAGGGTTCCGTTCCACAAGATATAATTGTCAATGCACGAGAATAAATAAATATATGAATGTGCCACTGAAAATCAATGATGACACCAGGTGTTCGAGGAAAGGGTGCACATGTCCTGTCCTACCGGTAGCACCCGTCATTCATACAAAGCGATCGTAGCACCAGGACCAGGGCGACCGTAACTCCCACACTTTAGCATAGACTTACGACAGTCGTAGCGCTAAGATCGCTTAGGGAAACGGGGCCTGCGAAACCATACACAATATATTAAGCTGAACCTTTCCGTCAGCTATGTTGTTTGGTTAATGTATGTGACAGCAGTGTGCATGCAGTATTCTTCCAGGGGGAGGTGTAACTGACAAGATTATCAGGTACTGCACATGGCATTTAATTTATTTCGCAATATCACTTAGTGGGCGAAAACGTCCTGCATGTCATTGTGTGTGGGAAGGCGAAAATGACATTTAACAACTGACTCAAAGAAGTAAACATCCACAAGAAAATAAATGATTGCAATACTGTTTACGGTTCAGCTAAGATACTACTGCTGCATATTATGTCCAGGAAACTCATTGAATTCAGAATGGTTACTCGCTATTTCAACGTTTTAGAGTTTCCCAAGTGTAAACTACGTAGATACTTGACTACATAACGCGATTGTTTACAGACCGCCGTTATAAAGTTGGAATATTGCTGAGTGTGGCGTTAAACAACAAACGAACGAACGAACGAGATCTACATCCATCTGGTCAACCCTGTCCACCCTGTCACCCACCGCAATTTACCCACTTACCTTTTAATTCAAATCGTCTAAGCCAGAGAATAACAGTCTCTATTATGTGCCGAAACAGGTTCCACAGCCTGTAAATGTAAAATTGTTCATATGATCAGAGACAAAATCAATCAGGTATGACACCAGGTCCTCACGAAAGGGTAAACATGCCCTGCTTTATCTATATAACCTCCTACTCACCTAACGCTGCACTCAAAACAATACTTCTGCCACACGGCTCTATCACAAAACCGCCTCTGTTGTCTAGTGATAGAGCATCCATCCGGAGAGCGGAAGGTCCGTGCACGTCGCTATATAAGTGTACTAAACTTAGATGTGACCTTAAACCCAATTTCCCTTCCCTTCAGGTCTATCTTCGTAAAAATTAAGGTCTACCTTCCCATTGAATGAGTCAGCATCACTGGGTTCACGGTGACCTTAAAGTATCCACATAGTCTGACCTGGTCATGTTTGAACGATGGGAACGATGGGTGCGTCCAAATCACTGAGATCAAAGCTTGGATATGATACCAGACTGTTCAAAGTCTATCCAGATCAGCTTCAACATCCTCCTGGAGCGGATATGGCACATGTCTTGTCTTGAAGAATCTGGGTGCAGAATCATCTGGTAATTTGCCTTGAGGTGAGGTGAAATTGGGTTTAACGTCGCGTCCAAGATTATTGCACTTATATAGCGACGTGCATGTACGTGTGTGTGTGTGGCTGCTTGTACTAGTCCGGACTGATGCCGATTTATAGTGCTAGTTCACTGAGATACCATGCCGCAGTTTAACATGAATACCCCACTCAGACACAGTATACTGATTCCGAGCCGACCAGTCCTTGTTTTAGCCCCTTAATACATGGGTGCAGAATCATCTGGTACAACTAAATTTGCCTTGGCTTCATTCAACTTTACAAGTCTTTCCCTTCCGAGTCTTACTTAATCATTATCGTTTGGTCTTAAACGTCTTGAGTCTAAATATATTGACTCCAACTAACAACAAAAACACATATTTCATAAACAACCTGTGAAATGTTTTATGAAATATTGATTTTTAGTTTACTTTTCATTTTTGAAAGTCAGATTGAAACAATTTCAATATCTAAGACAAATATGTTATGGATGATATCAATATCGAACGGAGTTGAAGCAATGTTGATACAATGTTTTTCAAGTAAGCAAGCTCAGATCAACCAAATTTTAACTTTAGAACAATGACAATGCTGGGATACTTCAATGGAGGAAGACATTATTAATTATAATTATCTGTGTAAGTTGGGGTACAGGTTATTATGAAAATTGTTAAAAAAACATCCTCGGCGACGTGGAGTTCAATGTGTGAAGCCAATTTCTGGTGTCCCCCGCCGTGATATTGCTGGAATATTGCTAAAAGCGGCGTAAAACCATACTCACTCACTCATTCTCTCAGTGAGCATAGGTTGAACCAGGCAATAAAGATCAACAGAGGTCATTGTTACAATATCAGAAACCTTTGAAAACAATAGGTTTCTAACTGAGTAACATTTCACTACTCATGTCGCCAGACAACAATATTGTAATTTGTAATATTATGTTATATTTTGATCAAGACCTGATTTGAAACCACAATAAAGTATGTATATTAAGTGGATTCACCTGATCACGAAGAATGACGCTTTTTTGGATTGTTACTCGGACATGTACAATGCTCATCTTGAAATATGGTCACACAGTGTACTGCAGAAATAATGCAGGGTAATAACAAATATCATCATTTAACATCGTTTGGTAAAACGCGGCCGGGGCTCGAACCACCTATTTTCCGCTCTCCGGACAGACTAGCTTTATTTTCCCCGCAAGCCACACACAGAGCAACAAACCAATAACAGAACGTCCCCTGCGGTACAAGGAGAGACGTTTATAAAGCCCTGAGGCGTTATAACAAGACCAACACTGATGCGTAGACAAATACAGGGTACATAATGAATATTCATGCTTGGGTGTAGTTCAGCATATAACCTTTTATCATCTAAAGGGTCAAGTGAACAACCGATTATTTATCACGCCTGTGTGACCCATGTGCCTATTAATAACTTTACAAAATGGCGCCTAATCCGAAACCACCCGAGCCTTACCTGACAGGGAGAACCTCAGCCCTTAAAGTGGAGGAGATTGTTAACATTCTGAGGAGTCCAGATGAGAGCAAGACCACCAAGACTGCCCCCGCCACACCCCAGGGAGGGGAGGTGTACCTCTATAAGATACCCTCGGGCATGAGAGAAGGTGAGGCAGCTTTGTTCAGGCTTAATATACCGCGGGTCAGGGATTACTACATATGAACAATGTTAATATGTCATGGAAAGCTGATATTATTTATTAAACAATTTAAATTCAAAGGGTTTGTTAAGCACACATGATCAATGTCCTCAAAAGCCATCAGTAATGTTATCAGTATGTTATCAGTAATAGTCTGCTTGACGTCGGGGTCATCCCTGCCCTGGTATCAGCTTCCTTGTACAGCCCTGTGATAACCGGTTTTATGTTCGCTAATATTGTTGACAAGTGATTGTCGTGCAATAAGTGACTACGTGAATTAGGTTATTTGTCTATATCATTGTTAAAACGACTTCTTTTGCAAAATGTTCTATCTTTGTTTTTCTTTTCACTCTTTCCATCCCCTTTACAACAATTGTGTACTTAAATAATGAACATTGTTTCATGTCAACTTATAGAAAATCCATTGTTGGATTAATCAATATGGGCTAAACAAGAATCAAGTATCGTGTTGCATCTCAGGGAAGGAGAAAAGGACATGGTATTTATCATCACAACCTCTAATACAACATATTTATGCATGACCTTACAGCTGATTTGGCATTAAGGTGGGTTGATTTTAGAGTTATGTTGCACTATTGACTGTTCACAGTTTTATTAATTAACATCTACATCACAGGTGACACACTAACACACAAAGAATTTTGGGGGATAGTTCATCTTCAGGATTACAACATTGTTTGCAATGTTATGATGTTAATTTCTATTTGCAGATATCTGGAAGGATGACAAATATCATTTCAGAAGTGATGGAACCCGGAAGCAGCCTGGCTCAAGTCCAGTCATAGTGAAGCAGTACCACAAGGCTTACACCGAGGACAAGACGACAACAAGGGCCTTTGTCAGAGAAGCATCGTATCTGTACAACCAGCCTCTGAAACACGTCCTAGTGCAATATATCGGGGACCACACACAAGCACAGCCTGCTCCACAACGCAAGAAGCGTGGTCAACAGACAGTTAATACCTCAGGTGACAGTAAATGTAGAAAAGTAGAATCAACTGGTGGAGTTGTGCAGTCGGGTGTCACGGAGAACAGTAACTCAAACCTGGACAATGAAGATCATTCATCACCGACAGAATTGGAAGACAACGGTAAATCAAACACTATTCTATGTGTAACACTGAATGAAGCAAAGGTGTCAGAGACTGAAACAAAGAATGATCACGACACAAATCAGAAACGCTGCAGGACAGGAGATCATAGAAGTGATGATGACATTGAATATTTGGGTACAACGTCAGGCTCCCCTGTCAAAAAAACCCATTTGCAGTCTCAAGTAGACAATGACAACACAGTTGTAACCCGTGTCACTAACACACCCTATGGTTATCTGTACACATTTCTTGAAGTCGTAGAAAGAAATCGTGATGTGATAAAGGTCGTGCAACAGGTTTTATCTTTATCATGGTTCTGGAACAAGGACTGTACCAACAAAGGCAACGCATGCTTGTCAGTCATTAAAGAGGTCGACAAGAACTGGAATCTAGATGCAATAAAAGCAAGGAACTGGGTTAAATGTGCTGACGTATGTGCTGACGGCCTGAGCTTGAACCAAGACCGGTCAGTTTACATTAACCTCATCGCAGCATTACTTGTTGGAGCATGTCATACCAGAACTGAAGTACAGGACTTTGTGAAAACACTGGAGGATCCTCCTTCACACCTTCAGCATGTACAAGAGGACGTCCCCTGTCACGTGACTGTACTTACACAGCTGGCTGCTACACCATCAGAGGAGATGTTCTGTCTCGCCTGGAAACCAACGAGTGGCTCACAGATGAAGTAAGTAGTCCATCTGCTCTATTTACACGATCACACAAACTACATGCCTAGTTAATCATCCAAGAAAATCATTTCATAGAGCATGGGAGGCCTTCGATTTCATCAAATGATGTCAGTATTAGATATTAACTGGGGGCGTGAGGGTGGTGAGTGGTTCAGTCACCTAATACTCATTGAAAGTGCCTTGAGGTAGGCGAGCTAGAGCGTGAGTTTGGTTGAACGCCTCTTTAAACAGTAGTGTCATGATGAGTTGGATTAAATTATGAAGAAATTCCAAAGTGGTGCATATCTTAGACGTTTACCACTTTGTTGATTCCCATGGTGAATCTGCAAAGCGAAATGCGGCGCCTTGGACCACTGAGCCCCCATCTTAAGATTAATACAGCAACGTTTGACGGTTTGTTCTTTTTACACCAGTATTAGTTAACTATCAATTAATATAAGAGTGCTAATTATCAACTCATTGCCATGCATCTCGATTCTGCAATGATAACACTACCCACCTGCTATGGGCATTGTGCACAAAATCTAGTACATCATCAGTTCAATTGTCAGTCATTGCTAACAGCCGAGATATTCTCTTCATGATGGATATGTGATGTGCAGCGGATCCTGCTTTTTGAAACTACAAGCGTTCCTTTTGAAGCAAACGCATTGGGCGATTAAACAGTATAATAAACATTCTAATAAATGAACTCTTTCCTGTCCAGATCATGGACACATACCTGCACCTCCTGGAGGGAGAGTGGTGTTCCCGTGTCAGCTTCCACTGTCTGGTGCTGCCTACAGAGACAATCCTACTGTGGGAGGCAGGACAGTACACAGACAGAATAAGGGGGAAAGATGTGAGTGACGTGATATTTTTATATTTCTTATAATTCTTTCATTCCGAGTGTACCATTGCATGTCCACCCTACCATGAACATGGGCAAGACTCGAAAGATATTTTGCAGTAATTGTATATTTTTTTGTGATAACATATGATTTGTCTATGCCATGATTGCGTATTCAGTATGCTAGAAGTTGTCACTTGCAATTGTGCGCACGAAGCGACCATATGCTGCAATGGGTTTCAATTGAGTAAAAGCCAGTAACCCCATTGATCATAATGCTATTCGTTTTCAATATGCAGTTACAAAAGCAGATATTGCACATGAACATATTCGTCTTGCTACATATTATTTTATGAATTGAAAATCTGGTTGTCAGAGAGGGGTCTTTAGAATTTCTTAGTTCCAAGTTCATGATACCAATTCACTAATATTTCTGTTACTGCATCATATCCATCTTATGTGAAGCACGTGTTTCTTGATATCTTGATCGTACACCGGAAAGGCATTTGTTGTGAACTTTCAGGAAAATTTGACAAACTACACGTGGATCTTAATGCCAGTGAACATGCCACGTAATCAACATTGGGTGCTACTGGTGGCTAATGTCAAGGATGGAACAGTGGGCGTGGTTAATTCTAAACCCTCCTTAATTGTGGAGGACTAGGTTGTACAACACTGGAGGTAGGTGGACAGAACAGTGGGCGTGGTCAATTCTAAACCCGCCTTATATGTAGAACACCCATTTGTACAACACTAGAGGTAGATACAAAAAAAGAGGACGTGTGGCTGCACATTATAAATGTTAAAACCAAGCTATCCAATTTGAAATGTTGAAATGTTGATTTGTCAAAAACAAACATGAATGTAAATAAGATCCATCGAAAAATGTTCGATACACCCACATTTGTAGCTTTTACTTTTGGGTAGAAGATATAGAACAACTTGTTCACAGGGTTACCCAGTTCCCCAAATGGGTACACTATGTAAATGATTTAAACGCCATAAATACAGTTATGTCACTCATTCATTTAAACAATAACATCTGTATTTGCTAACATTAAACCTAATGATGGACAAAGCAGGAGAGAACATCAGAAATGCCAGGACCGGATATTTTAGGCACTGCTGTATTAACCTTCTGCTCTACCTTTAATTTAACACCAGTCCACATGAGTTGAAGATGTTATCGCCATCGAGTAATATACATGTATTCCTCAGGCTCTTTGTAAACCACTTGAAATCTACGTCTAAGGAAAGGAGAAAGTCATGGATGAAGAAACAGTACCCAGTGATAGAACAGTCAGATGGACACAGCTGTGGAATATTCGTTCTGATGGTAGGTTGGTTTGAAGCTAGGCAACATGTGTCTCAATAACCACGTATGAACGATACCTTTTCATTTCTAACTTTCATATTCTCAGGCTGCTGATGCAATTTTGTCGGAGAAGTCTCCAGGCATCACGAGGAACTGTCACGTTGAGAAATACAGGCTGTATGTGCTTCAGAGGATACTACAATATGCCAAGGACAAGGGAGATATGCAAGGTGGAGGTAATCACATGATGGCAGTTGATGGACAGGGTAATGTCAGAAACGAAATTCAAACTGTAACGCTGGAGACAAGAGATGTACTGGAAAATAGCTGTACAATATCAACAGAGCAAGGAGGTCCAACTATTCATGAAGAGGATGGACATGAAACACATGAAGGAACCGACTCTGCTGTCGCCAGTGATGAAAGTATGCATTCTGGAGATCATTACTATGTTACGTAATTGTAAGGCGTTACGCAAGGTATTTTAGATCTACATGTGCAATGTTGTACACTGCTTTCTTACAAACGTTATTTGTTTTCACAGATACAGAGAACTATCCATGTTTGGATCAGCACCTGTTGGATAAGCAGAAGATGGCGTGCTTGTTAGTGGTTGCTTTGGCGGAGAATAACCTGGAGGAGAGGATGCTATGGGCAAGGTCTGACACAGGGACTCGCGTGGAAAGAGAAACCTACAAAAAATATATTGTTTGGGCACTCAAGGTTTTTGACATCAATGAAAAAGAATACACTGAAAATATGATGAAACCTATTTTATCTCAATTGGCGAAATGCTGTCTCCATCATGAAGCAGGCTCATATAGAATAAGAAATCATGAAGTAGCAATAAAGCTAAGAGAAATACTGCTACGTGATGTGGGACAGTTGGTTGAAAGGATGGATATCGAGTTCATATTTCGTTATGTGACATTTAGAGGTGATCGAACCGAAGCGGAACAACTAGATGTGCCTTTAAAAATCGAATTGAAACATGATGATCTGCATATTGTAGCGAAGCGGTTTCTTGCAGCTGTACATGGCAGAAAGTTTGCCTTTGTGTGCATGCATTCCCTATTCCAGGTAGAGACATTTGTTGATATGGTTTGGGAGAATATCTTGCATAATCTGAACAAGGACAGATCGGAACTGTTGAAAGTATTGTCAAAAAAGGACATTATATATGGATATTCCTTTCTGTTTTGGGCGAGCATCACAGACAACTCGAATTTGCTGAAGAAAGCATTGAACAGTGTTCAGTTTATGGTAAAGAACAGACAGGAAGCTTTGTTTGGAAGTTGCTTTGGGAACAGTTTAGCCAACTTCGATTACTTGTGTTCCAAAAATAACTGGCAGTTGGATACATTGTGTATGACGCTACCCGAACTCCCAAGACCTCTTATCATTAAACTGCAGTTGGCAGTTGCAGTTGATCTGGGAGTAAAGTTTGGTAAATGTTCACTTTTGGACATTGCCTGTATGGGTGGGTTGTCTGCAGTGGCTTCCAGATTGTCACATTTGATAAAGATGAGCAAGAACAGGAACAGGTCAAGAAAGAATACATATGTACATTATGCATCCTTGTGCCTAAAGGGCAAAGATACCATGGATACAATTACAAAAATTGGAAAACTGAATGTCAATATAAAAGGCCCTGAAGGATCAACACCTTTACATTACGCATGTGCAGTTGGAAATGTTAGCATTGTAAGCTATCTGTTACAGGAAGTAGTGGACATCAGTGAGCAAAACAAGAAGGGTGAAACTGGGCTTCATTTAGCATGTATATATGGAAATGCAGAAGTTGTTACAAAGTTATTACAGAACAAGGGAATAATTCATTTGAAAGATAATGCTGGCCGCACACCTCTACATCGTGCAGCCTGGCAGGGAGATCGGGTGGTTGTGGAGGTGTTATTACAGAACAAGGCAAATGTGGATGAGAAACGTCAAAATGGCAGCACACCTCTACATGATGCATCCGGGCAGGGACATCGGGTGGTTGTGGAGGTGTTATTAAAGAACAAGGCAAATGTGGATGAGAAAGATAAAGAAGGCAGCACACCTCTAAATGATGCAGCCTACCAGGGACATAGGGAGGTTGTGGAGGTGTTATTACAGAACAAGGCAAATGTGGATGAGAAAGATAAGGAAGGCCGCACACCTCTACATCATGCAGCATACCAGGGACATCGGATGGTTGTGGAGGTGTTATTACAGAACAAGGCAAATGTGGATGAGAAACGTCAAGATGGCAGCACACCTCTACATCATGCAGCCTACCAGGGACATAGAGAGGTTGTGGATGTGTTATTACAGAACAAGGCAAATGTGGATGAGAAACGTAATGATGGCAGCACACCTCTACATCATGCAGCCTACGATGGACATAGAGAGGTTGTAGAGGAGTTATTACAGAACAAGGCAAATGTGGATGAGAAAGATAAGGAAGGCCGCACACCTCTACATCATGCAGCCTACCAGGGACATCGGGTGGTTGTGGAGGTGTTATTACAGAACAAGGCAAATGTGCATGAGAAACGTAATGATGGCAGCACACCTCTACATCATGCAGCCTACGATGGACATAGAGAGGTTGTGGATGTGTTATTACAGAACAAGGCAAATGTGGATGAGAAAGATAAGGAAGGCCGCTCACCTCTACATCATGCAGCCTGGCAGGGACATCGGATGGTTGTGGAGGTGTTATTACAGAACAAGGCAAATGTGGATGAGAAACGTCAAGAAGGCAGCACACCTCTACATCATGCAGCCTACCAGGGACATCGGGAGGTTGTGGAGGTGTTATTACAGAACAAGGCAAATGTGGATGAGAAAGATAAGGAAGGCCGCACACCTCTACATCATGCAGCCAGCCAGGGACATAGGGAGGTTGTGGAGGTGTTATTACAGAACAAGGCAAATGTGGATGAGAAAGATAAGGAAGGCCGCACACCTCTACATCATGCAGCCAGGCAGGGACATAGGGAGGTTGTGGAGGTGTTATTACAGAACAAGGCAAATGTGGATGAGAAAGATAAGGAAGGCCGCACACCTCTACATTATGCAGCCAGCCAGGGACATAGGGAGGTTGTGGAGGTGTTATTACAGAACAAGGCAAATGTGGATGAGAAACGTCAAGATGGCAGCACACCTCTACATGATGCAGCCTGGCAGGGACATAGAGAGGTTGTGGATGTGTTATTACAGAACAAGGCAAATGTGGATGAGAAAGATAAGGAAGGCCGCACACCTCTACATGATTCAGCCTACGAGGGACATAGAGAGGTTGTGGAGGTGTTATTACAGAACAAGGCAAATGTGGATGAGAAAAATAAGGAAGGCCGCACACCTCTACATAATGCAGCATACCAGGGACATCGGGTGGTTGTGGAGGTGTTATTACAGAACAAGGCAAATGTGCATGAGAAACGTAATGATGGCAGCACACCTCTAAATGATGCAGCCTACGAGGGACATAGAGAGGTTGTGGAGGTGTTATTACAGAACAAGGCAAATGTGGATGAGAAAGATAAGGAAGGCCGCTCACCTCTACATGATGCAGCCTGGCAGGGACATCGGATGGTTGTGGAGGTGTTATTACAGAACAAGGCAAATGTGGATGAGAAACGTCAAGAAGGCAGCACACCTCTACATCATGCAGCCTACCAGGGACATCGGGAGGTTGTGGATGTGTTATTACAGAACAAGGCAAATGTGGATGAGAAAGATAAGGAAGTCCGCACACCTCTACATCATGCAGCCAGCCAGGGACATAGGGAGGTTGTGGAGGTGTTATTACAGAACAAGGCAAATGTGGATGAGATAGATAAGGAAGGCCGCACACCTCTACATCATGCAGCCAGCCAGGGACATAGGGAGGTTGTGGAGGTGTTATTACAGAACAAGGCAAATGTGGATGAGAAAGATAAGGAAGGCCGCACACCTCTACATTATGCAGCCAGCCAGGGACATAGGGAGGTTGTGGAGGTGTTATTACAGAACAAGGCAAATGTGGATGAGAAACGTCAAGATGGCAGCACACCTGTACATAATGCAGCCTACGAGGGACATAGAGAGGTTGTGGATGTGTTATTACAGAACAAGGCAAATGTGGATGAGAAAGATAAGGAAGGCCGCACACCTCTACATGATTCAGCCTACGAGGGACATAGAGAGGTTGTGGAGGTGTTATTACAGAACAAGGCAAATGTGGATGAGAAAAATAAGGAAGGCCGCACACCTCTACATAATGCAGCATACCAGGGACATCGGATGGCTGTGGAGGTGTTATTACAGAACAAGGCAAATGTGGATGAGAAACGTCAAGATGGCAGCACACCTCTACATGATGCAGCCTACGAGGGACATAGAGAGGTTGTGGATGTGTTATTACAGAACAAGGCAAATGTGGATGAGAAAGATAAGGAAGGCAGCACACCTCTAAATGATGCAGCCTACCAGGGACATAGGGTGGTTGTGGAGGTGTTATTACAGAACAAGGCAAATGTGGATGAGAAAGATAAGGAAGGCCGCACACCTCTACATCATGCAGCCTGGCAGGGACATCGGGTGGTTGTGGATGTGTTATTACAGAACAAGGCAAATGTGGATGAGAAAGATAAGGAAGGCCGCACACCTCTACATAATGCAGCCTACCAGGGACATTGGAAGGTTGTGGAGGTGTTATTACAGAACAAGGCAAATGTGGATGAGAAAGATAAGGAAGGCTGCACACCTCTACATCATGCAGCCTGGCAGGGATACAGGGAGGTTGTGGAGGTGTTATTACAGAACAAGGCAAATGTTTATGAGAAAGACGATAAAGAAGAAACTGCTTTACAAAAAGCAGAGGCACAACATCACGATGATATTGGAAGGATTATTTCTGAGGGAACAAATATACATGACCTGACAACCAACCATGGTACAATTACAGATAGGTAAGAGCAATGTGGAAATGATGCTTGAGTTGACAGCCCAAACACATATATTGTATACGCTGTTTTGCAGAACAGTTTGGAAACCTCAAATAACCATATGAGACCTCGAAGAGGACAGTACCATCAGACATATATCAAAATATCTATTTCAGCTAAAAAAGAATATGGACAGAGCATTTCTACAAGGCCCCCGAAACAACATACTAAAAGTCCCAAATCAATCAATCAAATATGTGATGAGAGACCAACAGTGTATTGATATTCCATGTCTGTCCATGTCTTGGAGGTCATCTTGGATTTTTGGGCCAGTCAGTTAGTGTGACAAGTTTTATGCAAATAAGTCCCAGCACACTGTTTCAGACAGTTGTTTCATCTTGAGTTTTGTAGATTTGTCAATAGTCGAAAACGATCAATAGTTGTGAATATCTTTTTAGAAACATAATATGGTTATATTGCAACACAACACATGCTGTTTTTTCCTAAAAACATTGAACCTCATCTGAAATATGGAAAATATCATTGACAGTTGGTTGCCATATTGGATTATGTAAATTAGACATATTTCCCAAACTGGGATTGCTTGGGACTTTAAGTATGTTGTTTTGGGGACCTTGTAGAAATGGATTGTGGTGAAATCAACTCTATTGCTATTTGTTCCAAGTGAAACCTTATTTTCCATGGCCTACATATGTCAATTGGGACTTTGCAAAAACGCTGACATTATGTTAACCAATATTTGAACTTAATAAGGCTTCACTGTGTATAATATTGAATGATTCGTTGGTTTACGTTCATGAATATGTGGGGCTTCCATTTAGTTTGGAGTCTTTTTCATTAGATACGAATTTTGAATGCGCTGGAGGCTTTTACATCTTGATTTTGTATTATATGTCACAATAGCATCACTATTTTGATTAAGTCCTATTTTCTCTGAAATGTTGCGTCAAGTGCATGTGATATTGTTTCAGGGTGACAACCGATGGCCAGTTTCTTATGAAATCATCGTCACTCCCACACGGAAGCTACAACAATGGCGGTTGGCTTACATCCACACCACTAACATCAACGTGCCCTGTGAACCACACATCAGTAGAATTGCCAGGGGTTTATGTTCCGAGTCGACTAGGACAGTCAGTTTCCACAGACAGACAAAGTGTTTTGGAACAGAGATACATCACCTTGCAGTCATCCCAAACATATCATATAGACGGAAATCTTAACAACCTCCATACAGATCCTGCACGCATGGAGATACGTTCACCCAATCAAAGATCAGAAACCATATATGGAAACTGCAGTCATGTTCCCACCTATGTCCATGCTCCAGTAGTTGGTGACACATTGCCCAGTTCAGATACCACTAGTAATTCTGAGAATACCATCATTCACTACACTGAGTCTGGGGAAAAGATAGACCTGCAGCAGTTCTAAAAGTGGTCTAGAAAGGAGTTATCATTGTTATTATGGTGTCCAGTGTTACAGTATACATATACAGTTTTACAACCTCCATTCGGAGTCAGTCGTCCGAATTTGGTTTGCAGAAAATAACGAGTTATTTGTCATTTGTGTCGATGTAGCATTGATGTTTCGGTAAGCATATCAATTCCATAAAAAAACAAAAAATTTACTCTACAAATGCTAGGACTAGGCTAACTTCAAGACGACAAAATCCTTTATGTTGCTTAGAGGATTACATAATAGATCCTTTCAAATGTTCCTAACTGGACATATGCACATTTCAGTGTGTACCGAACTTTCCTGAGGCATTGTTTTAAGTTGAATTGAGTGAGTGTGTGAGTTGGATTTAACGCTGCTTTTAACAGTATTCCAATAATATCACGGCGTGTCAGCTTAATGTGGGAGGAAAGCCCGAAGTGATGGAGGTCTCAGGCGTTTACCACTTCGGTGAAACCCAAGAGCACGGGTATGGGGCTGACAAACCTAGAAACATAAACTGGGCGAACCTGGATTCGAATCCACGATCATAGGTGTCTGGCGTGCCCGAGGGACGCAACTCTGCACAGCGAATCGCGGCGCCTTAGACGCCTGTGCCACCCGTACCCCCGTGTTATGTTGAAATTAGTGGGAGTGATTTGTGTCGATGTAGTTTTGACGTTTCTGTATGCATTTCGATTCCATAAAAAAACCATTGTACCCATTGTACAAACCCATTGTACAAATTCTAGGAACATGGCGAACTTTAATGTTTAGAAGATTACATAACAGTTTCTTACAAATGTTTATAACTGGACATATGCAGATTTCAGTGTGTTCCGAACTTTCTTAAAGCAAAGTGTTTTGTTGAAATTAGTTGGAGTGAGTACAAATTGACGTACACAATGCAGCTACATGTCGCTGTGTAAAATATGTACTTGCAGGAACACGTGGGTTTCTTTCTATCATAGTCGGTATTGTCACTTTGATTTGTTTCTGCACCATTTCCAGTGTCAGACTTGTGAAGTCTCACACCCAATACGAAGCCATGTAACCTGTTGTACATGCAATATAGACTTTAAAGTATGTTCACGGTGACCTCATATTCAGGAATATAATGATTGTTTTATTTCCAAGCAATTTATCCAATTAAGATCAAATAGTATTCTTTGAGCTGTGTCCCTTAAACAAATACAGACTAGTCATGGGCAAAACCAACCAGTATTACATTCTTCCATGATATCTGACATATTCTTATGTAGCATATTATGTGATAGATCACTGAACGAATCCCCGTAAGATATCGTTTTTATTACAAACTGTGTATCTGAAAACGTAGTTGAGGAGCAAAAGATGTTGGAAGCACTATTGTACTAACATTCATGGTGTAATTAATATACTTTTATCATCAGATAACTCTTGTTAGTGCTGCATTAGTTAAATGGCCTGTTATGTATTGCCCATAGTTGACCCATTGTATAACCCCTTTGTGACTGTAGACCTACAATTATGTTTTTCAATAGAAGTTGTTTTTTATTCATTTGTATTTTGTGCTGATTTACTGATTTGGCAATATAGTTTGAACCGTTTTCTAAGTTAACCTTCGCGTTTCAATTCGGAAATCCCCTCGTAACACTGTGCCATACAGTATAAACGTATAGCAACGATTAATTTTAATTTCTAAAATGACACCAGTTTCATTCATGTGACAAACATATGAAAATCCTTATGATATTATGCAGACGTACATATACAGTCGAACCCCGATGTCTTGAACTTGGATGTGCCGATTCCAAGAGTCCAGGCGAAATCACAGTCCAAAATCTTACCATATTTTTCGTATTGTTACCTGAATGCTCGATGGTCCCCAGGAGTTCGAGGCAATTGGGTCCGATTGTTCCTTTATGTGTATACATCTGAATATGTATACAGGTAGAAAAAGGTGCTTATCCAAACGCAGTGAAATCACACAGACAGCCATACCAGTGCAGCGTGTATTACAATCAGAATCAATCACAAACTATATTCATGCACTATCCTGATCTAAATATACACTTTCCCTGTGAAAAAGACAAATAAGTGTCTTTGTTTATTATAATCAAATAAAGAAAATAGGCAAAACCAAATCAAAACAAACTAACAATTGAATGAAGTTATCCAGGTTACATGGCCTAAATAAGCATCATGTTTTGCAAGCACAATACATGTGTGATGATGGAGCCTAGAATTGTCATCATACACCATTGCATTTGTAAATACCTTGCTCTGAAATAAAGTGGGCTAGACCGCCTCCATTGTCTTATGGATAGAGTATCAGACAGAATTATTTCGTATGTGTGTCCATGAGGCCAATAGCACAATGACATTTTGTTGTAAAACAATCCGTCGTGAAGCAACACTTGTATACTGATTAGATTGTAGCTAAATATGGTGTACACAGTTTTATTTATATTCAATGTGTTATTCTTCTTTCAAATATCTTATAAAAAACAAACTGCATGTCTGAAGAATATGGCTATTATTGCTGTCCATTAACTGTAAAAATTTTCTTTGTGATGGATATATATAATAATAGTTAGGCAGGTATTTGATTCTTATATCCTCATATACTGGACATATAAATAAAACATGGTATTAATTTTCTTGGTTATATTTGCAGAAAGGACACATCGATATTAAAACATCATTATCTTTGGAGTGTCTGTATAACCGTATATTGAGGGTATGTATACCACACCTGAACTTCGTTAAGCATCTGCGTAAAGGGAGAGTATCTGCCCAGTAACGTTAAAATGTGGTGGTCTTCTTACCCCGCCTGGCGCTCAGCATTAAGGGGATAAGACTAGTCAACTTGTGGTCAGTATACTGTGTGAGAGTGGGGTAGTCATGTTAAAACTTCGGCATGGTGTATCAGTGGCTTGTTCTGTAAAAACGACATGAGCAGACACACATACATATACACACACGCGTGCATGCACGTCACTTCATATAAGTGCAATATTCTTGAACGCAACATTAAACCTCAAACCTCATGTTGCCTTGCTCACCTCTACAGAGAATGAATCAAATAAGGGAAAAAAAATAATGTATGGTTATTTATGCTCGGCAAATGTATACTGAATATTGTTTGTGAAGTCAGGTCTGAAGATTTTCGGTGTACGAGTGGCCCAGTCGTCTCAGGCGCCGCCTTTTGCTGTGCAGAGTTGCGTCCCTTTGGCACGCCAGAAACCTGTGATTTTGGTTTCCAATCCCGGTTCGACCCGGCCAGATTACGTTTCTAGGTTTGTTAGCACCATATCCGTGCTCTTGGGTTTCACCGAAGTGGTAAACGTCTGAGACATTCATCACTTGGGCTTTCCTCTCACATTAAGCTGTCACGCCGTGATATAACTGGAATAATATCGTAAGCCGTACTGCCACCGCCGTTATAAACATTATCCTGTCTTGTATCCAGTCAACAAAGTCAGTTGTAGACAATGCCAGGGATAGAAAAGGTTGAAT